CTTCACTCACCTACGCCACTCCTCACTCTGTCTCTCGAGCAGGGGGACATCAACGGCAATGCTGCTGCTGGGACCAAAGTCCTCCCGGGAGAAGGTAATGGATGGAGGGCCTGGGTTCTCTGAGGTTGCGCCGTTGCTACAGAGGCACAAAGAGAGCACCCTAAGGCTCCCACTGTCCCTCAGACCGCTGCCCCCTATGCCGATGTCCTTCACTCCCAACTTCCTGGCCAGCCATGCTGACAACTACCTGCTTAATGTGGTGGTTCATTCTCTCCAGGCACAAGCATTTGTTGAGCACCTACTGTATACTGCCTACCTCACAGGGACTGTACCACATACAGAGCCCACCTGTAACCTATAAGGAAAGGGCTCTGCAGTCAGATACTTGACCCCATGGATGACCTAGGCAATTCTCTTTACCACTGAGATAAAGTAGGTGGGATCACACACTTATTTAGCACCTACTATGTGCCACTGATTTGTGCAATGAGGGCAGTTGAAAGAAAGGAACTCACATTTATTGAGCAGCTACTATGTGCTCTGTCTTGACCACATTTGACCAAGGAGGAAGCAGACCCAGAGAGGTAAATACCAATCATAGCTATGAAGAATCAGGGGCCTAATCGGTTTGGCTCAGTGGATAGAGCGTCAGCCTGCGGACTGAAGGGTCCCAGGTTCGATTCCGTTCAAGGGCATGTACCTTGGTTGCAGGCATCCCCAGTTGGGGGTGTGCAGGAGGCAGCTGATCGATGTTTCTAACTCTCTATCCCTCTCCCTTCCTCTCTGTTAAAAAAAATCAATAAAATATATTTAAAAAAGAAAAAAAAGAACCAGGGCCCTATGATGTTTCTGGCACGGCATGGTCTCTTTTAACCCTCAGGATAGCTCCGAGAGGGGCTCCTGTTATGGGACAATAACAGCTGAGGCAGTTGAGGCTAAGAGAGATCGGGTAGCTTGGCAAACTGGGATCCCACACAGCTGGAGGTGGGAGAGACGGTTCAAATTTGAATTGGGGTCCCACTGATTGCAAAGCCCCAGTC